TACCTCATTTAATACTTATAATCATCTCAGTTGGTAAAGAATATCACCATCTGTTTTCTATAGATGAAGCAACTGAGGTTTACATTGACTTAATAGCATGTTCAATAATATAGAACTTGGGATTCTGGTCCAAGTGTTTGAGTCTAGACTTTATTAGTTCAATGACTGTGGGCTACAATTATAGTTTGGATCTGGATTGTACTCTAAAAGCTCATGTATTGAAGGTTCAGAGGTGGGGTTTTTAGGTAGTAGTTTGATCATGTGAGCTCTGACCTCCTCAGTGGATTGGCTAGCTGGATAGCTGGATGGACTATTGGGAGGTAGGACCACGCTGGAGGAAGTAGATCACTGGGAATGTGCCTTGGAGGGATATACCTTCTCCCCAGCCCCTTCCTCTCTTTCTCTCTGCTTCACAGCTGCCATGCACTGAGCAGTTTTTCTCTGCCTTGCCCTGCCACTATGATGTTTCTGCCAGCCAGATAATGATGGACAAATCTTCTGAAACACTGAGCCCAAATAAATTTTCTTCCTTTAAGTTGTGACAGGTATTTTGGTCACAGCCATGAAAAACTGACTAATACAGCTCCCAATCTTAACATTAAGGCTACAAAGATAGAGTTGGAGAAGTACAGATTGGGCAGGGAAGGACTCCTTGGAGTCGTTTATCCCAGGTAAATAGATTAGAGAGAGGGCTAAAAGGGGCAAGTATGCTAGTCAGCTTTGCATTTATATAACCAAAATACCTGACAAGAACAACTTAAGAGGAGGGAAGTTCATTCTGGTTCATAGCTTCAGAGTGTTAGTCTATGGTTAGCCAAATCCATCACTCTGGACCCAAGGTGAGGCAGAACATTATGAAAAATAGCATAGTGGAGGATTATTGCTCACCACATGGTGTCTGGGAAGCAGAAAGAACAAGGGGAAGAGTCTATAGGGAAGATGAAACCTTTAGGGCACACCCCCTGAAATGACCTACCTCCTTCAATCACACTTTACCTGCCTACAGTTTACTACCAAGTTGATCTATTCAAATTAGAATGGACTGATTAGACTGCAGTTCTTCTCATCTAATCATTTCACTTCTGAATATTCCTGAATTAACACAGGAACTTTTGGGGAACACCATATATTCAAGCCTTAACAGCAAGGTTAATACCTAATTTACAATTGGGTTTCTAACTATCTCTTCCATATTCAACTTGCATTAAGTTTGGTTCCCTAAAGTGTGTTAGACATATATGAGTGCCTCAAGGGATAGGATAGACTCTAGAGGAAAAGGGAGAAATTGTTCTGAAATCCTGGGTGTTGGTATTCAAACAGAAGTGCTTTGGGGATCTGAAGTTGATTGGCTTGTGGTTGTGCAGCTGTTTTGTGATGCTCAGAACCAGAAAAAATATTTAAATCAATCTTTTTAATATACTTATCATGAGGAATGAGTTGTGTGTAGTGAATGGCACAAATGCAACCACAACCACAAGTCAAATGGATTAAAAAGCACCTGTGAGTATGAAGGTGGTATCTCATAATTAGACTGAGTTCAGTCGTTAATATTCAAGGTGGAAACTCCAATATCCAAATATGTCTGGCAATATTTCACTTCAATGGTCTTGGTCAATAAATGTTTTTGTTGTGTATTCAGGGTTCAGCAACTTCTGTCATGGGATGTCTGCCACCCAAAGAAAAAGGGAAGGAAAGAACCTGGGCTTTACATATTGCCATTAAGTTAGCCAAGCAAGGATATGTATAACAAACTGCTCTGTGAATGGTCAGAGCACTAAATGAAGTTGCTTGTTAAATATAGGCAACTTCATAAAAATGGTCCTCAATCTTCAAGTTGATAAAATTTATTTTAATAATCTCGGGGCAATGAATAGTAGGGAATTTGCACATTGAGGCCAATGTTATCTGCTTGCACATAGTTGAGTCTTTGAGAGATGTCCTAGTCTCAGAGAAACAACCATTTTGAGACTTGGCCTATGTACTTCAAACTTCTTTGCCTAACAGGCTGTCAGAATTAATCTCTCAACAGGTCTGGGGCAGTAAGGTATGGTGACATTGATTTTCCACTAGGAAGATAAGAGTCAGGAGAAAAGCAGAGACAACTTTTAAGCTTAATAGCCAGTCACATAGGAAGAAACATTGCAAATAATGGGTTTAAGGGCCTGAAAAACATCTGAACTTCTATATAGACACATCCAGACCTTAGTAGAATGGCCAAAAAAGTAACTTTGTGAATGGTAGATGAAAGTAAGTATCAGGATGATCATCTACATGGAATAAAGGGAGAGGTAATTTAAAGGTTCTTCTGACCAAAATATAGTTCCTGATACTACCTGCTAAGGTTAGTGTTGGAGTGGCCTCTTAGGATCTGTATGTTTTAATGAAAACACATAGATATAAAGAACTTTTAATGCACTGCATTAAAGTATCATCTTGCTGGTGGATAGTTAACCAATTAGTGAAGATTTATTTTTATATGATTAGTCCATTAGCACCAATTTTTACCATCTACAGTCAGAGGTTCTGGAGAGATATGATCCAGGACTGGAAAGGTTTAGAAATAAAAGCAATTTCTGTGCTGGATGACTGCTATATATAGTGCTGCCCAACAAGATATAATGAATAAATCCTGCAAGCCTCTAGGTTCTGGCTGCTCATATGGTAATTAGTATTATCACCAAATTGCAGAGTAGGAAATTGAGACCTAAGGAAGTTAAGCAAATTTTCTCATGATCACAGAACTTGGGTGAACTCTGGTTTTTAACCTAGAGGTATCTTCAACCTAAAGGTGGTTTTCTTCTTCATCTGTACAACATTGTATCCAGAGGGTTAGAGGTAACCTGAAGGTGGCATATTCTTATGCCACAGTTTTCAGAAAAAAAAGAACAAAACAAAAAACAAACCTATTGGATACAAATAATCCTTTATAAACCTGGATGTGGGGACTTGGAAAGTTGCCACATTGGATTATCTAGATCTGTCTCAAAGAACATATAAATATTCCTGGCAGTTCTTTGTCAGGAGTTATTGCTAGTGCTTATACATTCTTTAGATTTTACTTCCTGGGAGAAATTCAAAACAGTGAGCAGGGAAAATGAAAATGGTCAGAACTAATTGCATATGGACTTTGCCACCAAATGACATGAGAAAACAATAACATTTATCTTTGAATAAAATGAGTATGTGGGCTCATTTGCCTACCCTCAGCTCAGTTTTCATTTTCCTTTCCTCTCAAAATGCCCAGAGGGACCATATTTTTGTTTAATGACCTTCAGAATGATTCTTTAGAAATCTGAGGCTATCAGAGTTGGAAGCAATGCGAAAATAATTGTGGATTATTATTGTATGACGACAGTGGCAGCTGGGCTGTTTTTTCCTCTCTGTTCAGACTTTTTTCTTCATTTTCCCAGAAACCTTATATCCCAAGGTTTAACTCAGAAGCAAATCTCATATAGGTGATAAACCTTGCCAGACATGGTATGTAATATAATTTCAGACAAACCCTTAACTGTTCTTCTGAAAGACCCTAGGGAGTAAAGCAATCTTATATCTAGATGTTCTCCATAATATTACTTTTATTTACTCTCTGAAAATGTGTGTGGGTAGTTGTACTGGACATAAAGCAAGTGTATCTCTTAAATATTATACCTGTGAACTTAAGTGCTGGTTTTTGTGTTTTCTTGTCAAAACTCCTGCAAACAGAAGAAAAATTGTTATGGTCAAACACTAATATGAGCATTTACTCTCTCAAATCATTTACACACAGACACTCACATCTGAGGCTAGAGAGTCAGCATAGATTCTAACTTTCTGTGAACACATAGGATGTATTGAGGAGGGTGTGGTTGAACACGATGCAGATACTGTAAATGCTGTAATGGAGAAAGTGGAAAGTGCTTTTTACTATTGTCCAATTACTCTGCCTCACAATTTCTTACCTCAATTAAGAGAATCATAATTTAGATGATAACATATTTTTGCCTTGTTTAGCACTCCCTCACAGCTATCCCCTATGCCGTCACTGATGTTTGTATAGTGTTTGGTTATCCCTTTGGTTGAAAATTTGTGGTAAGTAGTAGACAGACTGGGACAGTATGTCAAAGTTGACTGAAGTTGTTGCTAAAGACAATGCTACGTGGTCAAAAATTCTTGAATATTCTTACATAATTTGTTATTGCTTGTCACTCTCTGGAAAAGTGTCAATGTCTGCAAAAGTGTTATGCAGTCCTTTCTAAGGTAGTCCAATCCCAGTAGTAAGACTTGCTCACATTCCCATCAGAGGAGTAAAACAAATTGGCTTCAAAACTCAAACCGTATTCTCTGGTCACTGAGCATACAAAATAAGTGGATGATTTTTTTCAATGCACATCCTTATTTCCCCTAGCTGCATTTCTAGAGAATTCTTTCAACCAAATTTTCTAGACGCTTTCTTGTAGCCTCATAATGGATATCTTGACCACAAGGAGGGAGGCTCTGGAGTATTTGTATTAGTTTTACAATAAGGCGGGATTAATGAAAGAATTATAAACTTCCTTGCCAAAGAAAAAGCATTTTATGAATGTTTAATAATGCTTAAGACCCCCCTGGAGTAAGCTAAATATCTAAGTGAACCATATCCTCTTAGGAATCTTAGGAAATACCCATGTCAAGTACAAAAAAAACAGGATATTATATATTTAGCAACTTTTAAGGTTCTACTCTACATCTCTTACATTTAGGGGACTTGTATGCTTTTCTAATTTTGCAGAATGCTTCATAAATCTTCTGGCTATTGGTGCCAGGTATTTCAATTGGCTCTTAATGTGATGGGTGATTATATTTGAATGAGATAAAATAATATACATTTGTGATGTTGCTTGGTCATTTATTTAACTCCTTAGCTACCTATTTTGAAACTAAAGAGAAGAATGCAAAAAAAGTGAAAGCAGTAACTTGCCAGCATGAAAATATAATGATGTGAATATTTATTTTTGATTTACTTACAAATATTTTCTCTTTAGGAATGCAAGCCAAAAATGTGGAGAAGTATAATAATACAGAAAGGAAATGCTCTTCTAATCCAGGAAGTTCAAGAAGAAGATGGAGGAAATTACACATGTGAACTTAAGTATGAAGGGAAACTTGTAAGACGAACAACTGAATTGAAAGTTACAGGTAGGAATTGGTTCTATTAAATACAGCAAATTAAATGCTAAATGTAACTTGATTTGGGAAGAAAGAGTTTTGTTCAAGGAGGCAACTTTCTGTGAACTTAGAATTGGTTGCAAATCAAACAGTTGGAAAGCATACTATTAATAAATTTCACTGAAAAGTGCTATATGTAGAATATGAATGATTAATTTAAGGATCAAGAGCCTAATGTATATATACATATAACCATATGGTAAGTTTATACGATATTTTAGTGCAACTGTATTTTTCACTCTGACCCATCACATGATAACAAGTATGGAGTATTCTTTTTGTGGCTTCATATCAGCAATCAAAAAGTTCTGGAGTTTGGAGCATTTAGGATTTCAGGTTAGGGATATTCAACCTGTATTATGTAAATACTTTAAATATATAATAATCTCACTTATATGTAGAATCCGAAAAAAGTCGAATATACATCAAGAGAGTAGGTGGGGCAGAGAAATAGAAATAGGGAGATGTAGGTCAAAAGGTATATACAAATTTATGATTATGTAGGAGGAATAAGTCTAGTGATTTAACATATAGCATGATGACTAGTTGATACTATTATAGTGTTTGCTTGAAATTTGCTGAAAGAATAGATTTCAGGTACATTTAACACAAAAAAGTGAAAAAATAGCTTTATGAGATAGATAAGTTAATTTTCTAGACTACAGTAATCAAGTCACCATATATGTGTGTATATTAAAATGTCATGCTGTTTACTTCAAATACATATGAACTTCAAATACATATGATTTTAAAACACACATGTGTATGTTTGTATATATACATATACACATTTGTATTTTGGATAAAATCTGAGCTATGATGAACTTTGAAATTATTAAGACAATTGCAATATTGATTACATTGATTTATTTATGATTAATGTATTTGGGCATTACCTGTTTAATCACCTAATGTTGACATCAACCAGGTAGTTAATTATCATGGCATTGCTAAGGGTAGGAATACATTTTCTTCTATATTTCTTTTTTTATGTCTGGAAGATCTCTTGGGGTAGTTTAAAAATCAGTCAACTTGTATTAATACTTGCTGAATTCAGTGCTAAAACCCATATGTGTATTTAAATTTGGGTTTTTTTGTCCTTTCCAAAATTTTAAGTAAGAGTGTACACACATTTTGTCCACTCTCTATCATAATAAACGACAGTTTTACTTTAGTTTGAATTTGGAGAGCACCTTCTGTGAAAGTTTAAATAGTTCTTTGGATTAGAATGGCTGTTCTTCCCCCCATGGACTTTTTTTTATTTATTTTTGTTGGTTCTTTTTAGTTATACATAACAGTAGAATTAATTTTGATATAATTATACAAGCATGGAATACATCTTATTCTAGTTGGGACCCCATTCTTATGGATATACATGATGATGGGATTCACTATGGTGTATTCATATATGTGTATAGGAAAATAATTTCAAATTCATTCTTCTGTCTTCCCTTTTCCTATTTCTTCTTTCTTCCCTTCATCCCCCTTTGTCTAATCCACTGAATATCTGTTCTTCCCCCCTCCCCATTATTGTGGGTTAGCTTCCACATGTCAGATAAAATTTTCAACCTTTTTTTGGGGGGGACTGGCTTATTTCACTTATTATGCTAATCACCAGGTCCATCCATTTACTTATAAATGTCATAAAGTCAACCTTTTTATGGCTGAGTAATACTCCATTGTGTATATACACCACAGTTTTTCTTATCCATTCATCTGTTGAAAGGCACCAAGGTGTGTTCCATTCTCATGGGCTTTTAAAAAATAACTATCATATCAATCAGGCCAATCCCAAATTCCAAATATTTGCCTTTGATTAGTTTCTGTTTTTCTCAACATGAACTAGACTTCCTGGACTCATTCATGGTAGAATATTCAATCATAGGCAGTTATACATCATTAATAAGTGATCTGACCATGCTGACCATGCACAAAGGCTATGGCATTGTCACTTTGACTACAATCACCAATACTTATCAGATGCTTGGGAAACACATTCGTTTTGCAATCATTTACTACAGTTTGTAATATTGTAGTATTTGGTTTATGTTTAAATTGAACCATAATAAATTAAACACCAAATCTCCTTTACACTCTGATCTAATAAAATATGATAGCAACAATTTGCATCTTTATTTTTATTTTAGAATCTAGAAAGGCAAAGCTAGAGCCACTTTTTGTGTATCTTATAAGGTATTGATTTATTTGCTCTAAACTTTTAGTATAATTGAACTGTGGGACTCAAATTTCATCTGGATCCCTTACAGAGATTCACCCCCTATTTTTTTTAGATTTTTGGTAAGTACTGAGGTTTGAGCCCAGGGGCTCTTTACTACTGAGCTACATCCCCAGCCCTTTTCTTTAAAAAAATGAGACAGGGTCTTGCTAATTTGCCCAGGATGACCTCAAACTTTTAATCCTCCTACCTAAGCCTTCTGAGTTTCTGGGATGACAGTCATGTGTCACTGTGCTCAGAAGGTTCACAAAATTTAGTGTACATCAGAATCATGTGGAGAGACCCAGGAAGGATGAGGAGAAAAATCTTCAAATACAGATTCCCATGTCTTTCTCTCTGATTCTTGTTTAGTACATCAATAAGATAAAGAATTTCTAGTATGGCAATTTGTAAATCAATGGATGTGTAACTGATGTGATTCTGCAATCTGTGTATGGGGTGAAGGTGGGAGTTCATAACCCACTTGAATCAAAGTGTGGAATATGATATGTCAAGAAATTTGTAATGTTTTGAACAACCCACAATAAAAAATTAAAAAAAAAAAAAGAATTTACTTACCTTTTTGTCCAGGCATTTGGGTATATGCTTTCTAAGAGTTATTCTTTGAGAAACACTAGAAGAAAGAATGGTGCTTTTGATTTCTTGTAAGCATGTTGGTTCACACACATAAAACAATCATATTTCCATAGACCCCAAATTGTTTCCCTTAAACTTCTAAAAGCTATCATGAATATCATGGTCATTGGTAACCACAGGAAACATGTCAAGGGATTATGTGGGTAAAGCAACCTCAATCAATGAAAAGTCATTTATTTACCATTCAAATAAAAAATATACTAAGTATATATTACATGCTAAGCAATGAACTAGATATAAGAAAAATTCAAATTTAAGTCATTATCTTTGGGTCAATGTTGATTCACGTGAGAAATATGAAGTTTAGATATTAATAGTTTAAATGTTATGCTTCATGTAGAAACAATGGTTTCTTGAAATGGAAGCTCAAGAGGTTGCTGTGTGAAAGCTGATTCTTTTTGCAATGTATGCTATACTGGCTTTGTATGCTGAGTATTATGAAAACAAAATTAAACAAATTGTCCTCTCATAATTCAGAATATAAAGCTGGGATTATTTAAAGAGAAACATTAACTTATTTTGAGTTTAGGAGTATACAGGCATAGGGAGAGAATTTCAATGTGAAATTAATGGGACCTTTTAACTATAAAATTGAATAATATGACATTCTATAATATGGAGTATTGAAAATATACAAGCTTTACAAGATTTTCAGATTTTTAAAGGTTTTTTTTTAAAAAAAGTTATTTTCTGGCTGTTCTCTTAAAATTGATATTTCTGAGAAATATGTCTATAGTAAAACAAGTGTTCTCTTAAGGTTTATAGTTGATATTTATTTTAAGTAGATCAATTATAAAAAGATTCAGGTATTCAAAACTGTTAAGTTAGAAGGTAACAATGTGCTTTATGAAATTATTCATTCATATAAAATAATATGCTATAGTATCTCCTTTTAAACAGTTACCTTTTTACTACATTTAAATAGGATTTGCTTTAAATGCAACTTGTCTGGAATACTTTGGTTATATAAATCTTAGTATACCTGTGTGATGTTATTGTGGAAATTTCTTTTTATAGTTTTGGAAGCTGCAGATGAACAGGGAGGCTATAAGAATAAATAGACTTGTTTAGGTCATTTGCCAATGATGAATACAGCCGGCAGCTTTATATCCCATGGCATATTTTAGGTAACTATTTGCTATTTTATAGATTTCCCCTGTATTCTCACATTGAATTTGTGCAGAGGGCTAGTTAAAGTGATAAAGAAAGACAGGGGAATTGGTTAAAACAATGTGAAAATGTAGAGCAGGTGATAATGGAAGGAGGAGGAAAGGAGTGGGAGAACATGAGCAGGGTAATGGAATAGGGTCTCCTGGGATTACAGGACAAGGTCAGCCTTGAGAAGGTCAGTGGTACACATAAATTATGCGGATGTTAAAAAATGAATAAATGCAGGAAGCCATCACTAATTAACTTTATCTGGAAGGTAATTCACAGTTCACATGACAAATCTTTCACAAATTCATCTTTTATGAAGCTTTATAGAAATGAGCATTGGCTACTTAGAAAAAAAAAATCCCAATAACCTGTTATCTAGTGAATATACAAATAACACCCTTCCTCTGTATTGTTGTAGATATCTCTAGAGTTCCTGATTGGAGTTTTTTCACATATTGGGAGTAATCCCGTAAACATTGGTGTCTGAATGCTATGACTAGAGGGTTTCTTTTATGGATATACTTCAAAGATTCGATGCTTGGTCACTGTAAAGCAGTGGTAGCATAGCATTCTAGATGTGCAGAACTTGGTAAAACTGCAAAGTAGAATTTGGGATCAGTCTGTGGTGAAGATGTTCAAATGCATGACTTCAGCAAGTGCTTTTAATCTCCACTTTGCAAAGTTTAACAGTGGTGCATTGTTGCAGGTTTCATTTAGACTACATTGTTAGAATAAACTTCCTCTGGTGTGGAAAATGGTAGCAATATACACACAGGGATAAATTTCACATTCATGTTGGTGATCATGGTGTTTGTGGTCCTTACTCTTAGTTCCTTTATGCCTCTGCTGTTAATGCTGAGACACTGGGGTGAGAAAAAACATGGAATGTAGTGATATGGTTGAGAGTTGGTGGAATAAATGAAATTTGGTATTTTGATTA